GCAGTTGTCCAAAAATGAAGATAAGCAAGGTGTGGATCTAACTCAATATAGGAGGTTGATTGGATCATTGTGTTACTTGTGTAATACACGGTCAGATTTGGCGTTTAGTGTTGGTATTGCAAGTAGATTCATGGAGAAATCAAAGATTTCTCATTTGGCAATACTTAAGAGGATCCTAAGATACATCAAACAAACTCTTTATTGTAGAAGTCTCTTTCACGCAACTGATACAGACACAAATTATGAGTTACTTGGTTATACGAATTCCAATTGGTGTGAAGATAAGGATGATCGAAAGTCTACGGCTGGTTATGTATTTATGCTGGGTGAAGCTCCAATCTCTTGGTGCTCTAAAAAGGAACATGTGGTTGCACTCTCTTCTTGTGAGGTCGAGTATATCGATGCGTCGATGTGTGCGTGTTAGGCTGTAAGGCTTGTAAATCTGCTGAAGGAGTTAGGCAGCAATGGAGAAAAAGTTGTTACGCTCTTGGTTGATAACATTTCATCCATTAATCTTGCAAGGAATCTCATAGCACATGGGAGGAGCAAACATATAGATATGTGTTTTTATTACTTGAGGGAACTAGTGTGTGCAGGAAACTAAAGTTAGGATATTGTCGAAGCGAAGAACAACTTGTGAATTTGTTGACGAAAGGCGTGATAAATGATGTGTTCAAGAATCTTGTGAGGAGTTTAGGTATGAATGATGTTGAGCATTTGAATTAAGGTGATGTATTGGATGCTGGATATAATTCAAATGCATTCTGGAAGCTTCTAAATTTGTTTCGTGCAAAACAACTTATTTGAAAAGCACTTCTAAAAGTTGCAAAGATTATGTGTTTCGAAGGAGAAATTGGTTTCCCAGTTTGAGGAAATTTGTTTTTGTCACGTGTTTTTGACTTCTTGTGTGTTACTGTTGAGGAAACCGATTTTCCTGTTTTAAGAAACCGATTTCTGACGCGAAATTTTTTTATTTTTGTTGTTTTATTAAGTTTGTGTTGGTTCCAAGGATGTTTAAGTGTATCATATATAAATGCTCATGTAATGTGTTTTTTTGTTAATATCAATTTATGAGTTTCTCCTCAATTACTTTCTCTCTAAACTCCATCTTCTTCAATTAATAATTTTTCATCATTAATTCACCAACTTCATTTTTGTGTATGTTCTAACAAATTTTTGTTATATTAAATATTATAGTATTATTTTATATAATTTAGATATATATTATATTTAAAAACATATTATTGTAAAAAATAATATAATACTTAAAAATGTATTATATTTAAAATAATATAATATAATATATAGTTTATAATTTTTTTTATTAAAAAATCCCGTTTAAAAAAGGGTAGCACAAAGTCATATAGGCCATGTAAAATTTTCATATGGACTAAAGAGTTAGCAGGAATTGAAGACAAAAACAGCTCATAGACACAAAAGTAGCAAACGAGGATAGAAATGGTTTGGTATGGCCACCGGAAAGCAAAGCAATCAAATCAGACACACCATTATGATTTTGTTAGGTCGGTTTGTTAAACAACCCATGTATTAACCACGTGCCTTCATATTCTTCATAACTATTTTTCATCTTGAAAATTCACTCTATTTTTGCCGACTTTCTTCTCACTGTCTCTTTCATTTTTTAACTATTTCATGTTTTTGGAAGTTTTTATTTATTATCTCCATATTTATATTTGACGTTTTTTATTTTTTATTATTTTTAAAATGTCTTTATATAAATTGGATGGATATACAAAAATGAAAATTTTGATATTTTTGTGAAATTTTCAGTATAATTTAAATAAAATTCAAATTTTTTTGAAATATATTAAAATTTTCACTATTGTATTAGAAATTTCTGGTAGTGTAAAAAAAATTTTCTAAAAAATTAAGTATCAAATTTTTTAAAAATTTTGATATTTTTTCGAAAATTCTAATATTTTTTTTAGAAATTTCAAAAAGTCGGTTTTCTTTTTTTAATTTAGTGATTGTACACAAAAATATAATTTGAAGGTGTCATATTAGATCCCGTTTTTTTTTAGTGAAAAGTTTAGCTCGATTGAGTATAAGAGATTATGACATTAATAGTAACATTCAAATTTATGTTCTTATGAGATCAGGGGTCGAGTCAAAAAAAATTATGAAGTTTGAACAATATTTTAAAGATTGCAGAATAAAAAATGAGGATGGTTTCATTTCTATTTCCTTCGCGAGTTTGAAATTGATCTAAAATTCCATTTTTCATTTCAATTCTTCGTTAATTAAGAATTTTAATTTTACGCTTTATTTTTTATGTTTTTCATATAAATTACTTAAACTCCAAAAAAAATTTAACGCATAACCTAAACAGGTGCCTAATCTAATCAGATTTTAGATCTTTTTATATGTGAGATACTAACATCAAGTGCAACAATCTTCGCTCATAAACTCTATAAATCAAACTTTTACTTATATTTGGTCTCTTAGTTTAGATTTTGATCGTACCTGACCAAAATGGATCGTCAAAGTCTACGAGCTATGAGTTGAGCAGTAGTTGTAGATGATGGACTCGTGATTCTCGAAAGGCAGTTATGAGAACGATGATGTGGACACGTGGGTCACGTTCTGCAAGACACTCTGATGCTAAAGTAAAATTCAGAATGATGTAAGCAAGTACGAATGAGTGAGATAGAATGATTTAATATCTGACTCTCTCAAGTGAGAGGATATTTATAGCCCCCAACGATGGACCAAAGTCTCTAATAATGTTGGTCCACGATGAGACCCAATAATAAAGACTGTCAGGGCTTACGTGTGTATGGAGTCCAGCATGTGGACTCCCTCTTGGTCAATTGTTTCGAGAGAATAGGTGTTGGACATGTGATTCTCGAAAAGCAGTTATGAGAATGATGACGTGGACACGTGGGACACATTCTCCAACAACCACGTGAAAAATTGTCCAACAATCTCTAACTTGAACTGCTTATCTTTAGACCTTATATAAGAGTGTTGAATTGGACCTCCTCAATAATAGAACAAATTGGCCTAGTCCAGATTAGATTTTAATGTGATTATTTTTATTTATGTTGTGTTTAAAAGGATTACATTGCAATTAGTTTCGTAAAATAAAGGACCTTCGAACAAAAGAAATATATAAGGGACCATGTTGGCATTATTTGTGCAAAATAAAAGATAATTTTGAATAGAAAAAAATCAATTAAAACTTAAAAGTTGAGACATTAAACTAAAACAAACACAAATAAAGATTACGCATGAAAATAATTTAAATTAAGTTAGATTTTGTTAAGTATGAACTTGATCAGAAAAAGTTAAAATTTTGATAAGTTGTCTTTCATAAAATTACTTTTAGACATTAATGTAGCATTTCCAAAAACTTAATTAGTTTAAACATTTATATAAAAAATCATATTTATTTGAAATGGACTACAGAACTAAAAGATCAATAAAAATAAATACATATTTGAATTAATTTATTTAAATTTATCTTAGAACATAAGTTATACAAACAACTTATTTGAAACAACTTTAAAAAAAAGGATTTATGTTATTATTCATAAAATTATTTCAACCTAAAAGGATAATGCAAATGTTTAATGAAGACCCATATTCTGTCCATCCACCCAACCCAATTGACATTTATTCTCTCTCTTGAGAATTTCTTACCACCCTATATACACGCAAAAAGGATTCTATCAAATTTTATAACTACCTTCGACAAATTTGAAAATATATTTTCGATTTATATTTTTTTATCAAAAATTTATTAAAATCAGAATTATATTTATAGGACAAAAATGCGTGTTTAAGTTGCAACACAAATCAAAAATATACATACAATTCTAACCGTAAATCCATATATGCGTTATATCTTATTTTTCTCAATGTTAAATATCGTGTGTATTTGAAGTGTAACTGAAAATACAAATACAGTTTAAAATGTAAATGCATTTTCAACTCATGTTTCACCTTTTCATATAGTCTAGACAACAATATATTTGTCCAAGATGCGTATCAAAAATATATTTTCAATTCCTAAGAATATTTAAGTTTCTTCGCAATGTAAATATATTAGGTGGTTTAACAAATTCTCCTCTCTCTTCTAAAGTAAAAAACAAAATAAAAAAAGTAAAGTAATCATTCTCTCTCACCTTAAGGTTACATGTGAAGGTGTCCAAGGGGGTGTATGAAAATGAAGAATGTCGATATACCAAGACCCAGATAATTACTTGGCATATTTATGATTCAAATTACCTAGAAGTAATTACGAATGTGTAAAATTGAAAATTGATTTTACCAATTGAATATAATTGATTATAATTTCCAGAATATGATTTTATCTTGAAATATATGTTTAACTTATTTTTATAAAAATTTATCCAAATATTAATCACTTAACATTAAATGCACTTTTAACCATAATCAATTTTGCAAAATCAAGTTACCATATAACCAAACATCACACTTAGTATTGTTATTATGAAAATAGGTATCTCAGTTGCTACTGTTTGTTGTTTATAACAAGTCGTCCCTTCTTTTCGAATTGAATACAAATTTATTTTTTCCAAAATTACTTGTTTTAATTCAGAACCGAACGATCTTAATCAGAAGGTCAGATATGCTTGAATACAGGCTTTTGTTGACTGCAGAAAATCTGAACCCCTCCATTTCTCAATAGAAATAGAGAAAAATGGAAAGCTACATTACTAGGCAAGTAACAGGTTGATGTGTATATAGACCTAATGTATATCAACAGTTATAATAATGAGTTTGTATAAGTTTGTACACGTTAAAAATGTAGTAACTGAATTCTCCTCATTTTTTGAGAAACAACTATGATCTCTACCTAGAAAAGATAATTCATGAATAGACTTTTTATTTTTACTGACAAAAAACAGCTTCTCTTCATTTACTTAAAACCTAATGTAAATGTAATAACAAAAATATTTGTAGGTTATTACCAAATGACTCAATTAAACCGGTTCAAATCAAAATTAATACATTTACTCTTTTAAAACTGTCTGAAGAGCCAAAGAACTTTCAACTTCTTTAGCAGCATTTGCTTCAGCAACAACCTTAGACAAACCAAACATCTGAAATTGATCCAAAACCATGATATATCAGTAAACGACAAAGCATGTATGCAGATAAGGTGTAACGCAATATCTTAGGTGCAAAGTACAAACCTTTTTAATTGTTTTCTGAAAGCAGGTTTTGTGTTCATCCATAGAAGCATGAATAAACTCGTCAATGTGATCCTTTATATCTTCCAAGAATGCGGCTTCTTCGTGCTTTTTCTTTCGACATGAAGTTGCAGCTGCGGCGGACGGAGGCTGCTTTTCAGCTTGGCTTTTTTGAGTGTCCATGCTCTCTGAGGTTCTAATAGCTGTAACAAGTTATAGCCTTAAACATTACGATCAGTGATGACAATAGTTAAACATAAACATCCATATTGAAGTTTTTGGAAATATATCTGCAAATAACAGTGATGTCAAAAGATAGAGCAAGCAATAAAGCGCATACGAATTTTTCAGACCACCTGATGAGAAACATTGAAATCTATATTAGTACAAAACCAAACCTTAATTTCCAAAAACAACTCGCATTAAATAATTAAAAGGCAACAAAATCTGAAATGTTCATGGTTAAAATCCTTATGTAGGCTTTCAAAAAAAAACAAAAGGTGCGTGTTTTAGAGTTGTATGGCTCAACCATATGTCACAATAGATGTTTTAGAGTTGTATGGCTCAACCATATGTCACAATAGATGTTTTAGAGTTGTATGGCTCAACCATATGTCACAATGGCTGCCAGAAGTCTAGAACACAAGCCAAATATGCAAAGAATAGGTCTGTATTTGGAGGAAAAGTGATACTAACTAAGAACAAATTTGAATAGAGATTTTATAATACAAACACTTAGCTTTAAGAAGAAACAAGTGAAGCATGATTTCACAGTTGTATAGCTCAATATATGGTACAACAACAACCAAGCCTTATCACACTAAGTGGGGTGGGTTACATGAATCAACTTCCGCCATAATGTTCTATTCATGACCACGCTTCTATCCAAATCGTTAATTTCGAGATCTTTCTAAATAACTTCCCTTAAAGTCTTTCTAGGTCATATTCTACCTCTAATTGTTTGACTCCTCTCCATCTAATCTACTCTTCTTACCACAAAATCTACAAGAACGCTATGTTATTAAGCAAGGAACAGATCCAAGTTTAGAGGAAAACTGTTATTGACTAAGAACAAATTTCAATCTAAAATTTACATAACAAAGCCTCGTGCATTTCCAGACAAACAACTGGTGCATCATTTTGAGTAGCATTTCCAAGGCTATGCATAGATTATTCTCTGCTTAAAGAACGTTAGCAACATCTCCAACCAGTGTTGTCAATTGGAGATCACAAAAAATATAGATTTGTTCAAATTCCACTATGTTGGGTGCAATAGCGTGCTTCTATAGGTGCTATTTGACCCTACTTTATACTAAATCGCTTATCACATGACAATAGTAATTTGTTTTTATTCTTTTGACAAAAAAAGACAATAGCAATTTGTTAAAATTCTGCTATGCTATTGCCCTGGTAAAGCCCCTATTTGACCACAGTTTATACTAATTTGCATATCACAAAACAATAGCGGTTTGTTTAAATTCCTACGTCTTAGAGTTCTAGCAATTCTATAGGTGTAAAATTGATTTTGACACATTTGTTTTCTCAAAAGTAGAATTAATTTTGCTTCTAAAATTGATTTTAGTTGAAATTAAGATATGTAGATTTTGAGTTTAATCGTGATTTTTACGCTGATGTTGTTCAACTCACTTTTATATAAATATATCCAAACATTAAAACTTTATATTCAAAGAAAACCCTAATATTCAAAAAATGCAAACGCAACCTAGTACCAACCATTTGAAATTTAAAGAATTTCATGAACTTGAAATCAAAACAACCAAAACATCACCAATCACATATCTTCCAAAGAAAACCCTAATATTTCTACATTAAACCTGGAAAAAAATCTGAAAACATTTATCCTTTCCAGGACGGCTATCGCGGCCGCAAATCGTCCTGGAATCAAACCCTAGGGCGCTCGGGAACAAAAATTGGAGAAAGAAGGTAACCTGGACGGAGTTACTCACTGTTTGCGGCGGCCGACGACGAACTCCGGTGATTTTCCGGTGAGTTGAGCTTTCCAATGCAAAGCGGCGATGAATTGATGAGCCTCTCAGTGGGTTGGGCTTTCGATTACTTTTCCAACACTCCAAGTCACTATAAAAATAATATATATAATTTTTTTGTCAATAAATAAATATAACTTATGCGGTAATTTAAAAATGAGAAAAAAAATAAACACTAAACTATTTTTACCTTATCAACTAATAAAAGACGTATATTATCTTAAATCATATTTTTTATTTTAAAATATTAATATAACATATTAAATAATACTGTAAAATTTTATTGAATAAAAGATTGTGTTTATTAATTAATGTAGAGGGTTAGGTTCTTACAACTTAATTAGACAATTAAAATTATAAAAAAAGTTGTAAAATATTTTTTTAAATGTACAATTTTATTTTAGTGTCAATACAAAATAGTTTAACATAATACCAAAATTCACATTACTCTTCATTTAACGAAACAAAAATATATATATTCATAAAAAAGAGAAAATAGAAGATGTATTGGAAGAGTAAAATTTTATATTGTCAATCAATAATTATTGTGTATTACGTTAAATTACACTGATATTTTTAAATTAGTGATATAATATGGTTGAACGATGAATTTCTATTGTATAATAATATGAAATTATTTTACATTGTCAGTACACTATCTTTAATCTCCGTAAAAAATAGTTTACAAATTGAAATAGTAATTTTTTTTTAGGTGGTCGGCTTGTTCTCACATTAAATATTTTTCGACGTTTATGTTAGTTTATTTTTTCTTCTTGTTTCTCACGCTAGCGTATTATTTCTTCTATCAAATATTTATTTAAATGTTTTTTTTCGGGGTAGAGAGGATGCTCAAAAGATTCATTAGATTGATTGAAATAAAGTATATTTAGATAGAGAGTTAGATGGGTTGGAGGTCCAAAGGAGAAGTTCATTTTTTCCTTGTTAGATAAACGGTGGTAGAGGTTGCATGTTGATCACGAGGGTTGTGGTATAAAGTGTTAACGACTAAATATAAGGTAGAAAATGGTCATATTAAGGGTGATAGCGATAAAACGTTTGTGTGGGGAAGAAATTTGTCATGAATTAGGGAAGGGATGAGGTTGAGCACAAGTCGTTGGTTAGATGTCAGATTATGTTGCTTGATGGATAATAGTGAAAATTAGTCCTTTCGAGAGGATCCTTGGTTGAAGAAGATGTTTTATTTGTTGTTGGTCCTATCGCATGCACGAGATGACATCAATATTTGCATCAAGGGTAAGAAGATTTGGGTAGGATCAATGATCTAGGGTAATGGTGGAGGACGAGTCCTTTCATGTAATGACAAATGTGTGTTAGAATGTTGTTCATTGTTGGATAACGTTGTTTTGTATATTAATATAGTTGAACATTAGATGTGGACCTCTTATCATATTTTGATCAACAATAGAATCCCACAAAATATAATTTGATGAGGCGGAAAATAATTTTGACAATTTCATGGAATGTACAATTAATTATGGGAAATAGAAGACCATCCAATATTTATTTTTTTAATGTGAAATAGGTGTCCATTCAATTTTTATTATTAGACGGTATCTTATAGTAGTTTGAAACTCTTTTTGTCCTTCTAAATATTATCGACATTCATGCCCGTCAATTCTATGACCTGCATTTGTTAGGAAGGAGGCTCGACAATGCTTTTAAGTCATATAGTTGGGCGAGTATATGATTAATTTGAAAATAAATAAATAAATGGGTTTCGGCAATAAATGGTGTTGGATTTGAAAAATAAATAGACTTAATCGATTAACAATTGGTATAATTGATTCAGTGGTGCAATTTTTCAACTCCTTCATTATTTTAGACTTAGAGAGTGTTTTAACGGTCCATATTGATTTTGGGACGTCCCCCATTTTGGCTTTGGCTCTCTTATAGCTCAAAAAATTTATTTTTCAACAAACGATTAGTAGTAGAAAAAATTTAAAGTGAAAAGGTGTGATATTTTAGCACTTATTAAAAGAATAATCGAATTTTTCGAGTTTATTCTCTACCAATTGTCTTACTTCGTTATTAAAATAAAGATTAAAACTGGAGAGAACTTTCTTACCCCTTTGTTCCACCAAGAATCAAACTTAATTTTAATTTTTTCATATCTCTGAATCGTTTGATACGATAGGCGATCTCAGGCTCCATTTCTTCATTAGTGAGATTTCTTCCAAAAACATATTTCTCCAAGGAGTTACTTTTAAAGAATATCTTAAACATTTGATCATTTTTGTTTGAAAAGTCTTTAGAAATATGCTTCCAACGACTTCTTTTAGTTTGACATAGATTTAATGAAGTTGTAAAGCATTCCTAAAAAAAATAGATTTTTACCTTAGGTACCTAAAAATTTTTTGGATCTATTACCGTTAGGAGATTTAAGGTGATTCAAGTTTTCATGACTGAATCACTTAAACCACTTTAAATCATTCATTTTTTATAAAACAGTAAGGTTCAAGATGACTTGATCTATAACAATGATAAACAAAAATTTTTTTTTATACTTTTAGCGTGACATATACTCATGAAGAATATAACATTATTATCTGGTTGATAACATAATAATGTTTATTATAAGAAGCTTTTTAATTAGAAAACCATATCAAGATTATCTCTGTCCATATTTTGAACATATCTTTCACTTCATCATAATACCAAGTAAAATAATCACATCTATTTTTAATCTCATACCTTATAGTGTGGACATCTTCAAAAAATTTAGTTGTACTTGTCCTTCTAAGCACAACCAAGTTTTCACATAAATAACTATGACCTTATTGCTTCTTTGAATAAGATGGATAATCCCATAATTCTGATGTTTTAATCTCTTCTCCACCAATTTCAGAATCAATTGGATACAATTACGAATTTGAAACCTTCATCCTTTTTACTTCGATTTTAGATTTGGAGATGTCCAACTCATACTATTAACTGAATCCTAAAAGTTGAATACATTGTTGTATTTGATGGAGTTGCATAAGAAGAAGATGCATGAAACTCTAATTTCAGAGGTTGAGGAAGAAGAAGAACGATGAAGAAGAAGAACGAAGAAGAGTAACATTGAAGAAGAAGATGAACGTTGGTTTATAGGATTTACTCTTACATAGCAGTTAACTAAGATAAAGCGTTAATGAAACTAATAATGTTTTAAGTAAAATGGTTCATGAGGATAAACTTGAAATAGTTAATAAAATTTAAAGATAAAAATAATTGTTTTTAAAATTAAGAAATCAAAATAAATTATGTCTCAAAGATACGGGATGAAAAAAAGATATTAAACTTTTTTTATAATAAATTTCCTATTCATTATAGGAAATAATGACACTCATGTTAATAAGTAAAACTAAAAAAAAAACAATAAATATTAAAAGCTTAATAATTAACAATACATGTTAAAAAAAACTTAATATTTATTTTTAAAGTAGTATGTTTGTTTTAACCTAAAGTAGTATGTTTAACTCTTTAAAATATAATTATTTTAATATAAAATTTCTAACTTAACAAAAACATAAGATTCTATATATTAAATATTTAAGGAGGTAGGTAATAAATAAATGAGTCATTTTTACAAGACTCAAATTGTCCACGGTTTCATTACATATACTTTTGTGGTCTAAAAACAAAGAAAGTAGATATGTCCCTTCAAACTCAACCACCAATCACCAATCCATAACACACACTCACCTTCTCTTTCCATAAAAATAAAAATAACAAACCAAAATCTTTTTCTTCTGTTTTCTGTGTTTTTAAGATTCTTTTTACCTTAAACTTTAAACACACACACTGGTTCATTGCCAATAATGGCTTGTTCGTTGCAAGCAACAATATCAGCCAACACATGTGCTTTCTCCACAAGGAGATTCTCCTTGAAGCAACAAAAGATTTGCAAGAGAAGTTCTTGCATGTTCACTGTTAGAGCTTCTTCTGATGACTCTGATTGCAATCAAGAAGAATGTGCCCCTGAAAAAGAAGTTAGTTTATTCTATTCTCAAAACTTTTTTTTTTGTTCTTTTGTTTTACTTTGAATGATTGTGTGTTAACTGAGAAAATTAAGGAATTATTTAACATTTTTTTAGTGAATGGTGCTATTTTGTTGATAGTAGTTTAAAAACTATTGAATTATATAACCAATGATTGTAGAGTAGTAGTTTTCATCTCTGTTTCAATGTGTTTCCAACTATTGAACAATTTTATGTATAAGCCCGTCTTTCGAATCAAGATGAACAAAAGGAAAAATCTATAGTCCACTTGTGAAGTTTCCGAATGAATTCTACGAAAAAGAAAACTAATCCTATGTTGTTGATGGTGATGTAGGTTGGGAAGGTGAGTATGGAATGGTTAGCAGAGGAGAAGACGAAAGTAGTAGGTACTTATCCTCCACGCCGGAAGCAGGGCTGGACTGGCTATGTTGAAAAGGACACTGCTGGACAAACAAACATATATTCCGTCGAGGTTTGAATTTTTCTTTCCTAAGGATTTAAAGTTGTGCTCGTTTCATAATTTGTTGTTTTTCTTGGCCTGTGTGTGCACGTGCACGCTCCTTTCACTTGTTGAATGTTTAGTGTTTATTTTGATGATCATATCTGCATTGTTCGCATCTAGATATCAATCTTATCGTGTTAATGCTAATGATTTTATATAATCGATAAGACATACAATAATCAAAAGACATATTCAGAATCTAAGATCCTAAAATTTTCTATGGCGTTTGATTTGATGTTTGTCTAATACTTACTGACCATTTCCAGCCAGCAGTTTATGTGGCAGAAAGTGCTATAAGTTCAGGAACATCTGGTTCTTCTTCTGATGGAGCTCAGAACACAGCAGCAATTGCTGCTGGTCTTGCGCTGATCTCAATCGCCGCAGCATCATCAATACTTCTACAAGTTGGTAAGAATGCTCCTCCTCAGGTCAAAACAGTCGAATACTCCGGTCCATCACTTAGTTACTACATCAACGAGTTTAAGTCACAAGAAATTACTCAAGCGCCCGCCGTGTCCACCGAGACGGAACAATCATTACCTGTTCAACCCGAGAGCTCCGAAACGGATGCATCGTTGTCTGTTCAAAAACTTGAGAGCTCTGAAACAGATGCATCGTTATCTGTTCAAAAACTTGAGAGCTCTGAGGCGGATGCACCATTATCTGTTCAAAAACCTGAGAGCTCTGAGGCGGATGCAACGTTATCTGTTCAAAAACTTGAGAGCTCTGAGGCGGATGCATCGTTATCTGTTCAAAAACCTGAGAGCTCTGAGGCGGATGCATCGTTATCTGTTCAAAAACTTGAGAGCTCTGAGGCGGATGCATCATTATCTGTTCAAAAACTTGAGAGCTCCGAGGCGGATGCATCGTTATCTGTTCAACAACCTGAGAGCTCCGAGGCTCCTGATGTTTCGGCATCTCTTCAACCTGAAAACTCTCCTGCAGAAGTGCCTCAAGTTAAAGATGAACCTAAGACTCAGCCAGATACTTCAAGTTTTGACTGGACACTTTATCTTGAGTGATCACATGGAAAAGTAGTTCATTTTATGTTCATAATATGAGATTATGTATACAAGGTTGATGATGGATGGAAATGTTTTTGCTACCAAATTAAGTGTGTTTATATTTTGATAAGGAAAGAGAGATGATATAAGTGGGCACAACTTAACTAAAGGTTAAGCCTTACATTTCTAAATTCTATATATAATTCTCAAAATAGTGAAACCATGCATGTTTGAGATATTACTGTGCCATATGGATTTCTAGGGTTTAAAGTATTATTTCAAAAATCAAGCCGAATCGGAGATGAACTGGATGAACTGAGTTCAATTGCAGGCGATTCAACTGGTTTCTTTTTTTTCTTTCGTTTTTTCATTTAATCTTTTACTACTTTTATATTGTTATATAATGTAGTTGAACCGACTGAACCATGATAATTCGAATGTCTCAGACAGTTAGTTAACAAATACTAAAGATTCTTATTAACAGTGGTAATTATTGTGTTCACTAATGGTGAAGGCATGATGCATGTTAAAGTACTCTTTCAATAAAAAATGAATTGGATCTTAAGAATCAAAAATTGTTTTACCAAATGAGTTAATGTGTTTATCTATTCTTGGATGGTGAGTAGTTTATAGTTTTATACCACTCCATCTTTTCTAATGGCCACCTTTTACATTTATACACATAAATTTTGGGGGGAAATTTGTGTTTTGTTTTGAAAAATAAATTTGTACAAAAAATGCATCCAACTAATTATAGTGTGAAATCAAATTTAATACATATATTGAATTTATATTATCAGCTTGAAAGTTTGATACATGTTCTTAACTTGATGAATTCAAAATCCAATAAAAGTATCTTGGTGAGACTGACTTGATGAACAAAATCAGCATAATTAAACTTATAGAAAATAACACTAATTATCTATGAAGTACCAACACCTCTGAAAAATGGCATGTCGATGTCAGACACCTTTACCTTTAATTTATTTATTTTTTCAAATTATTAGCGGTATTACCGTATTTTTTCAAATTATTAGCGGTATTACCGCGTCAGTGTTGTCTTCGGAGTGTCCGTGCTTCCTAGCTAATTATATTACGTAGGCATTTAGCATTACTGATAACACCAGTATGAGCTTGCAGCATGCTTGCCTCAATGCAGTGCATGTAATTTTTCACAATCTGTCATCAATTTTAAATAACCCTCAATGCAGTGCATGTAATTTTTCACAATCTGTCATCAATTTTAAATAACCCTCAGATTGCAATCTCAAACACTATCAAACTTTAAACCTTTATCTTTAACCATATATAATGCAAGTCCTTCATTCAACTTGGTGCCATTGTGACATTGCATGAGACCAAGCTAAGAGCATTGAGAATATAATTTGAACATAACACCTGCTACAATTCCAGTGAAATTGAATAGTTAAAGGCTCAGCACTAATTTTAACTACATTATCAATTGTTATAACAAAAAAATCATAGCGAAAAAACTTGCGTATTATCATAAGTTTAGCATATATAACATTATTGATCATCTCCATTCTCCAACATCAAACAAAAGTAAAGAAACAGAATAGGAAACTGTTTGTGTTGTGATAATCTCATCAGCGAGGTGTTATCCTTTCTTAACCTTTCTTAACGTGAAATCTCTTGTTTGTTAAATTGCACCTCAAGAAATCGGAAACACGGAACCTGCACTTCACACTAATCCCAAATCACGTCACAGAAATCCCAAGCAAGTTCCCCTATGGCAGTGATGATGAATGGGGTGAGGACTCCTGTATTATGCTCGTGCCTCATGCAAAATTTAATTGAGAACCTGTTGTTCAGCCTTTCTGTTGATCCTTACCATCATATTTGAACGACAAAGAAGACTCTCGTATAGTTGGCTCCTACAACGGACTGATTTGTTTCGTTGGTGATTCTTTTACCGATGGGTTTCAAGAGTGCTGGCTCCGTCTATGGAGCCCAGCCACAAGGATAACATCTCAAAATTTGAGTATTTTAGTAATTCACATTTAAGCCTCACTTTTGGCTGTGATAATTCTACCAGACACCTATAAAGTGATGGCATTGCGTTACATTCATGATCAATTGACAAGTGAGGTGAAGGTTCTGACTTCTGATAACTCCTCTTCATTTGGACTATGGTGGACTAGGGCATTCTGGGTATGTTGATGCTGTGGCTTTTGGACTTCTGATAGATGAAAATATCACAATCAGTTAAAATACAAATTATTCAACAAAATAAAATTCTCATAATTAACAGGCCAAGAAGAACCCACTTGTGTACCGTAAGAAAATCTGCCGGTAAGTAATGAATCCCAACTAAGCAATACACCTCATCTCCAATAGAATCTTCATCTTTATATGTATGGTAGTATCACGGTGGCACCGTGATTATGTCGAAGCTATACGGTGTAGCTTTTGCAACTTCACAGTGGCTAATTGTGATTCTGCCATACTCAAATCCAAACGCGCACGAAAGGAAGTAATACCAAATGACCAAACATTCTGATCATAAAACTGAAGACATTCACTTCCATGCACCAAAGTCAATGGATTGAAGTGATATATGACCGAGATACAAATCCTTCAAATGTTGCTTACACAACCCTAGTCGCCGTTTATTTAAGCTTGGATGAATGCAAGTTGAAAACCCAGTTTTCCAGCTTGGAGACTTTTGTCTTTCCATTACATGAAGAGTATAGACTCTTGGTGCTGGAGCTGAACACCCTATTACAAAACAATTACACGGTCTTGCTTCGGTCACAATTCTTGCCAGAGACAACAAACACAAACCGCTATACGCTATTCCATACATTAGCGCCTCGTCGTTGTCAAAAACTTCGACACCCGATACTTCATTCATTGTCTCCTTCTCCGTGTCATGCGCTTGTAGAAGCCTGCTAAGTTCTTCATCAAATCGCTTTTCTATTTCGGCTTCATGTATCCGATACTTTGTTGCTAAAGTACGAATGCATGATTTCCTAACTTGATCCGATATCAAAAGCTTTACTTCATTAAAGTTAGTGCAATTCTCGTACCATTTCAGCCAGCGGCAAGCAATCCCAGAAAACCAGTCAATAATTTCACTTGTATCGTGCATGACTAGCAAATTAGCAGACCGCGGGAATCCATCTGGTGTAGTCAATCCATATCTTTCGAGGCGCTTTTTTATGACATAGACAGGAGCAATGATCTCGGTTTTAGCAATCACTTTTTCTTCTAAGCTGTTATTATTTGGCAAAAGCTTGAGAATAGAATCTGCCTCAGCAGATACATACTTCTCGGCCTGTTTCATAAACTCGTAAAAGGAATCCGTTAGCTCTTGCGGAAGAGCCGGCTCTCCAACGAACTTAGACAAGACATTTTCTTCACTTTTGGCATTTTTCACTTGAACATCCTGCATCCATATCTTCATTAAGTGCTTATACCAATGATCAGTTTCCATCCCGGGCTTTCGAAAATGAGAAACCTTACTAAGGAGAGAGCTACTATCAGCTAAATGTTTGATCTCTGATTCCTTTACTTTCTTCAAACCATGACCCAACCATTTCTTCCCTATTCTAGCCGTCCCGTAATTCCAAGCCTCGAGCTTCTGCAAAGCAAACAACTCAACTTTATCTTTCATCTTGTGAACAGCTTTCACAGCATTACTCTCTTCAACATTCCTCTTTACCAACGTCCCCAAAAACCGAACACCCCTAGAACCTACACACGGAAGCACATCAGTTCCATCCCCAACATCCAACATCAAAGATTCTTTCAAATAACTCTCAATCTCAGACTTAAAGCTTACAGCACAATCCTTCGAACCAGAAACCGCGAAAAAAATCTCATCCATAAACCTAACGCAGTAAACTTTAACACCAGAACTCTCAACAACACCAACATTACTACCATTATCACTACCATTACCATTCAACTGACTCCTAAACCAACCACGCAACGCCGAGAACGTCTTATCTCCATCAACAACCTCTCCACCACCGCGTACACCTTCGTATTTCATGGCCAACCTATGAAACTCACTGTCAAACATATCAAGATAAATATTCATCAAAATCGGCGACAAAACCCCTTCTTGAGGCAAACCATCTCCCTTAGCAAATCCACCAAACTCAAAATTCAAAACCCTAGCATCAAACATACTCCTAATCAAATCAAACAAACAACCATCCTCAATCTTATCCTCCATCACACAAACCAACTTCTCCATCAATAAACCATCAAATTTCTTACTCACAAGCAAAGTGAACCACCAATCAGGACTCACTACACCTTTACATACATACTTCAACGCTGCCGCACGTCCCTTACCGCTCCGACAACCGTGCGATATCCTCGAGAAATTCGGCTTGAAAATCACTTCCAGAACAATCCTCAACGCTTCTTGAACAACTCTCAGCTTCAAATTCGGTAGAATCAACGTCAGCAAATCCTCATCCTCTGATTTCTTCTTCTTTTGATTCTGATTCTTTCTTGTGGAGATTTTATACGTATTCGCACTCGCGTCGAAGCTACCTTCCTGAAGCTGCTTTGCCACGTCATGAAGGAAATAACCGTCTCCTTTATCTGCGCCGGGTTTTGCGGAAACGGTTACAGGGTGGATAGTGAGGATGTTGGAATTTTCGTTAAGCTGATGTGCCACGTCATTGAGGAAATAACCGCTTCCGTTATTTGCGGAAGCAGTTACGGGGTGGTTGTTAGGGATGATGTTGGAGTTGAGTTTGATGATGTTGTAAGCGTCTTGGAGGGTTTGGGGATTTGAAACGACGTTTAGGATTAGGTTGTGGAATTTGCCGTCGTTGTGGGAGAGGTTTGATTTGACTCGTTTTTTGATTCGGAGTTGGAGGAAGCGTTTGAGTTGCGTGCGAGTTTGAGGTATTGGGTTTTGGGTTTTTGCGGGAGAGTGGGGTTGGACTAGTGAGGCGAGTTCGGTTGCGAGGGTGGGTTTTGGGAGAGGGTTGTTGTGGTTAGCGTGATGGTTTGAAGGTTGGGAGAGAGAGGAGGTGAGTCTGAGGGAGAGAGTGTGGAGGGGTTTGAGGAAATGGGAAGTGGTGAGTTTGGCCATTGGAATTTGGAACTCTATGGGTAGTGAGTAAGACTGTGTTAATGTCTCTGTCTGTGTTGTTGCTACTTGGCATTCTACTCTGGAGTGTGGATGGAAAGTTTGAAACCTGTCTTCTTTAGTTTGTACGAAGAATTTTAGTATGATAACAGACAAAATTGGGATGACAAAAACAAAATTTTAATTTGAATGTGCCTCTCGGTCACGAACAATCGCGAAAAGTTATTGTTTTACGTTGTAAAAGGATGTTGTTTACAACGGGTTTCGTTTCACTCTTCTTTTAGTGGGTGGACAATTTTGTTCTAGATGTGGGATGGTATGGGAAAACATTGAACACATTTTTAATGATTTTACAATCAGATTAACAAATGTTTTTCCACCGACGGATGAAACTATGTCATAGTAAATTATTAAAGTTTAGTCTATGATTTAAATTTTGGGGTTCACATTTAACCTAATAATATCGTCTGTTGTAAGGTAAGCTATGATTCGAGGCTTTTGAGATTCTTTTTAATGTTTATGTTAAGGGAAAATGTAAGTGGTTAAATCTCGCATTGAATATGAATTGGTGGAATGTTATATTCATAAAAGATAATGGTACATCTTGGAAAATTACAAAGGTTGGATTATCTCGGGTGTCTTTCTACTTTAGCGTTTCGCCTCTTCAGACGTTATGCTTGTGAGAATGTGTACATTTCGGAATTAGCGGGCTGATAGGAAGATTGTACATCCCATAATTCGGGCACTTGGTTTCAACGCGAAAACATAGGGCGGTAACCTGCAGAGTTTTCCGTTCAAAGCTTCTCACTGCAAATAGATTCTTGATGAAGCAACAATAACATGTTGAATGGTGATGTCCATAATAAACATAAGTTATGCCTTTATAGAGTCTAATAAAAAAAATAGAAGAATAAGTTGAGTTATAGGAAGTTTCACACAAAGTTGGAAGAATCCATTTCGAGTAACAAAGACAATTTTTATTAGAAGAACAATTTGACCATGGGCTAATAAGCCTCCTCAACCCAACCGGCCCAACACTAGCAAATAAAAAGACCTCAATCACACTATAGAAAGGACGACCCAAGGAAGTGTCGAGCTATAACCAGTTTATGCCAAATAGAGCAATATTGCCATAAGATAACTAAGGTGTACATTGTCACTAAATCAATCCATCTCAAAAAGCTGAGTAAAAATGATAAAGAGGCCAATGCAGAACAGGATTTTGTACATCTCGAATAAAAATTATAAGGTTGGGCATAGGTTATGACACTATTACCCTGGGTGTCTTTTTACTTAAGTGTTTTGCCCCTCTAAGTCTCGCGCTTATGTCGTTGTGTACATCTCAGAAATGGGCAGAAACCTAGAACATAGTCGATAAATATGGTCGAATTAGTATGATTGTTTCATCCTTAAGCATTTCGCCCATTCAGAATTTATGCTTTGGAGTTTGTGTACATCCTGGGAAACTACGAAGTTCAGATTTTCCCAATGTCTTTATACTTAAGTGTTTATCTCTTTCAAGCCTTATTGTGATACGGTGGGAAAGAATTGACTGTTTTTTGGAATGTTGGTTTGCGTTTTGCGTTTGTTTTCGCAAAATTTCGCGGTAAGCAAAAGTCGCCACCGTCTTTTATTTTATCCAACAAGGAAAGGAAAAAAAGCACAGAAAAATTCCTTTTTCGAGATATTTCTCGGGTTCGGGGGGTAGATTATAGAAAGGGAAGGTGTTATCACCCTTTATATTCGTGGTTATCCACGGGCTCTTAGGTACTTGCTCATAATGTTTTCAAAATTTTCTTTTCTTTGTGTTTGTGGGTTTGAAAGAAGTTTTTGTTGGAAAAGTGTAAGTGCAAAAAGTTTTGTTTTGTTTTGAAAGAGCAAGTACTTAAGAACCATCTACCTACTCGAAAAAGGAATCAATATGTACTAATGTCCTTTAGACAATACTATCCCACTATTGATGAGTAGGTAGCATCGTCGTTGGAGTTTTAAGGGTCAATTCGATTAAGGGACGTGTGGTCACTAAAGCAATATTAGGATGCCTTAGCGGTAACCCTAATGTCTTAGATCATTTTTTCGAGACAACCGTTTCGAGGCAACTATGATCTTTGGACAAGAGGGCGACCTCTAAAACTTCCTATACTCAATGACCACGTTCGAAGGCAACCAAATGAGGTGTACCCTAAGAGTGCGCATGTGCGAGTGTGTTGTTTTCAGTTAATTTTGTCTTTGTACATGTCAATGGTTATCTATGTTGATTTTAAGTTAAACATTTGATCTTGTCATGCATTCCCTATTATCAAACATCTAACAGTTTATAAGGTGCGGAAATTAAATTACGGAAATTAAATCTAATTATTACAAGGCGTCGGGTATTTACATTGTAACACCCCAGTTTTAATTATTTGATTTATTTAATGGGAAAATTATTTTATTGGAGTTAATAAAATAAAAGAATTATTTATTTTGGGATATTTGAAGAAAATAAAAGAAATAAGAAAATATTGGGTTTTTAAGTTATTGGGCTTGGATGTCGTTAGTAAAGAGTGGGGGTGCAAAAGAAATAAGGATATATTTTGGAACTCAAGTTATTTTCTCAGTTTTGACGATAACACAGAGGTTGGAGATATTTGGGATTGGAGCTCTGAAGAACGAAGAACAATCGCTCAAGAGTTCAAAGCTGCAATTTGATAAGGTAAGGGGGGCTACTACTCAATTTATATTTGCTTATGGGTTTAGATGCGATTGGTTGGGTAATCGTAGGATAATCCCATTTTCTCTGATGTTCTTAGGGATCGATAACTTTAGGGTCGAATTTCGTTAGAAAAGATTAGGTTCCCTAAAGGTTGTGAATCGATTAAGAAATTAATCCCTATTGTTGATTTAGATCGAAATTGTATGATCGGGAGTTTCCCTTAGGTGTTCTAAGGATAACCTTGATGTTATCAGATTTCCCCAAAAGGACGAATAATCACTTTTAAGGTTACCTTGATACTTGTTGGTAATTATAAAATTAAGTTTTTGGATTAAATGATTTGAAAAAGGAATTCTGTTTTCCAACGATTTTAGAAAACTATAACCTTGAAGGATTTGAGTCATTCAATTTGTGGGAAATTGATGAACATAAGTCAGAGGCATAGGAAATTGATGTTTTGGAAACTTGATGTGTATTTGGATGTTTTTGTACTGCATTGCGCTGCTGTAGAAATGTATTTTCGGGCAAATATGTTGGCATATGAGCTGCTGCAGGTACAGGAAATTTCTGCACGCGTTCATCAACACGGGCCGTGTTGCACAACACGGGCACCCGTGTTGATCCTCTGTAATTGATAAAAGCAATGTGTTTCTGGACACATTTCAACACGGGCCGTGTTGCACAACACGGGCCATGTTGCACAACACGGGCACCCGTGTTGATCTTCTGTATGGGCAACACGGGCCGTGTTGCTGCACACGGGCACCCGTGTTGAGCCCCTGTGTTGGCTTCTGGATTCTGTTTTCTGTGCATGCTGTTATGTGCGGAATTGATCCTGTTTTGATGTGCAGTGTTTTATATATTTTGAATATGCTGCTTATTGATTTCCTAGTGTTGTGGATGCTTGTATCGAATAACGTTTGTATGTTATGATGCCAACACTACGTAGATTTTATTGTCATGCTTTGAGATGATGTTATCAAGCATGAATTATGATATAACTTGATATGATTGGTTGATGTTTAATAGTATGCTGAGTGATTACATGCTATCCATATCCTGTTATGATTGATGTTGTTGATGTTGCATGATATGTTTTATTGATGTTAATAGTATGCTGAGTGTTACATACTTTACATATCATGTTGCATTTGTTAATTCCCATTGTGCGGAATTAACATGGTGGCCAATATACGTGTCCGCGATTTAATGGAACGTTGAGGTGGTAGCCGTGTCCGCGATATAATGGAACGGTGAGTTATCCGTGACCCGAGATTTAATGGGGCGGTAAAATGGTACCACATGCATGGGTGTGTTGCATTACATTGAATATAACATGAATGGATGATTTTCCAATGTTGTATTTAATTGATTGTATGCATGTATTGTTGCTAAATTGTTAACGATGTTTGATGTTAATTATAAGTATGAAAAGTAAGATATTATGAATATATGAATTGTAAAGGTTTTCGTAAACTATGAAACATGCTAACTGTTTGGGTGATGCTTATGGTTTTATCTGAATTGATTGTTATGAACGTATAATCAAATGTATAGTTGAGATGCTCACCCTTACTGTTGAATATTTCAGATTGAGGAGCTTCGTTCAGGTGCTTGGCGAAGGCTTGTTGTTTCTAGTTTATTTCCGTTTAAGTATTGTCCGGGTCATGCTCTGATAGTTGTAACTCCGGGAACGTTTGTTTGTCGAGCTGCTTTAGTCAGACTCGTTTATTCCTTATGTTTGTTATAATATGATGTTGATATATTCCAGGTGTTAATCCCTGATGATTTTGAAAATATTATAACATTGGTTTTGTTAACTAAATTATTCCGCTGTGTAAACATGTATGAGTTGCTTCTATGTTATGCATGACAGGAACTTGTTTTTGTAAAAAGAGAATTGTGACATCCTCGTTAATACATGTACTCTGAAAGTATGATTTTAATTAATTGCGAAATTTTATGCGGGGTTATAGAGGGTGTTACAATAGTGGTATCAGAGCATAGTCGGTCGTTGCGACCAGAGTCTTGAGTCAGTCATTCCTTTTGTATGCGACTAGTGCAAGGTAACACTGTCGATACTGTATTCTGATGAGGGGTATGTTTTAATTCTCAGGAATATGGCTGGAAGAGGTAACGGACGAAATGATGCTGCACTTGCTGAGGCTTTGGGGATGTTAGTTGGTGTACTTGCTGGAAATCCAAATGGAGGCGTGATTGGTGCTGATAGGCAATTGGGGAACTTCCAAAGGAACAATCCTCCGTTGTTCAAAGGTACACATGACCCTGAAGGTGCTCAGAAGTGGCT